TTTTAATGTTGATCAATGAAATGGAATGGAATGCAATTGAATTTGTGCAATGGCACATGTACTTTTAATAGTGAGATTGTAGGTATAATTAATGAGAAAAAAAAATATATATATATGTATATGTATGTATAACAAAGACAAAGCTTGATAGTTGTAGGAAATGAACAGAATATTTTACTATCGCTGGAAGTTGAAATGAATTTTTTTTATATGGCAACAGAAAACTAAAATAATAGACTGGTAGAATCGAGTACACTGTAACAAGACTTCCGTGTCCACAATTGTACAATATGGATTGCTACTGTATAAAAAATGCAACTGATTTAAGCACAATGTACAAAACTTCGCAATAACGCATAGATGATAATAACTTATTTTGTATGATGTCCTGTGATTTTAAACATTACCTCTTACTACAGAAGCATACGAAATGTTATATTTCTGGAATAAAACTGTACAACTTTCAAATGATGTACTTGTATTGTGTTGCATATCCCAACCACAATATGAATGTATATTACATTCTACGATACTATGATTTATGTCTATAATATGTGCTATATAAAACTGACAATATGGAGTTCTATTAGATAGAACAATGTCTTCTAAAAATAGGAAAATTAATAACACCTTAAGATGAAAAACTAACCTATTCAATATAAACGATTTCACAACAGTGATTACAATTATCGTGCCATCGTACACAAATACTCAGACTACAAATGTTGAGCAATGTGAAAAACCAGTTCACTTTTGTGATCAAACACGTTCATTGTACTTAAACAACGTTTAACACAACAATGAAACGCGCATAGACGGTAGGTTAGGTTTTTTTGCTGACAGACGTGTACGTGATTATGAAAATAAGCTAATTAACACAAGAGCGTGAAATAACAATGATTGCGCAACAATTACACAAATGGGAGCACATTTAACGAATATGCAACACATTAATTAAACGTCAGTGTATATAAAGCAGACAGTACACGACGCCATTACGTCAAAATACGAAAGTATAACACGCGAATGAGTCTTGGCGGGGATGACATAATTTTCATCCAACCGCTTCTATTTACTTCTACAGACCGTATAAATATATTAAGTAACCTAATGCTGATAAACATCATTCCTTTTTAAAAATAAAAAGTTTGAGCATACGTAAGACAAAACCTTATAACAATTCTTCACCATAAACCAGCATTTAATAAAATTTCTTTAGTTCGATCATTACTATAAATAAAACTTTACAGTTATATCACAAAAATCTCATACCTCTTTATAAATTCTTCTCTATTCATTTGAAACTCGGATTTCATCGCAAGGGAAACGAGGCGTAACGGTCATGTTGGCATGCAAATTTTTCAAACACCTGCAGCAATATTAAACTCGGTATAACAATAGCCAATTAATCGTTAAAACAATAGTCTATCATGAATAGAATGGTTTCGCATGAAAATGAATAACAATTAGGTATTTATAATCAAAGATTTCTTACATATATTCAGCGTCGAGGCAGCAACCAAACGGACACTCAAAACCCGCCAAAGGAGTGTACACTGCGCATACGCCCGAGCGCAGCTATTGGTCATCGAGGTGCGCGGCAACTTCGAAATCGCGTGAAATCTAGTTAAATCGCGTTCAACGAAATGAAAGTTCTACCGTGTCCCCGAGTGAGTCCTTACGAACCTTCGTAACGTGGTTTCTGCAGGTGGGGTACATAACAAGAAGGGGGATGCTGGAACCCATGCGCGACATTCTCTCGAGACATTTAAACTGGAACAGTTCCTGATCGCATCCAGGAGACGTTGCACGGGTTCCTTCGAGGATCCACACCGCCGGAAGTTCGTTTTTAACGTGAAACGTGTACCAGTGTGGAATCGGCTTATTCGATCAGAACGGCAGTGATCGTAGCTCAACGTGAAACACCAGTGACCACGATGGTGGGTGGCTCGTCAATTATAAATCAATTTATTTCGGTGTACGTGCACGGTAACGCAGATATCTAAAACAGTGTCATGGCACGTAAGTTTCTGTTAAATAAGAATTAAACATCTCTGGCCGGGAACGAATGACAATTGTCTGGTGGTAAGTTTGTACAGTGACTTTAATATCGACGAAGTCAACACGATCCTCTTGTATCGAGATTTACGTATATGCACGCACAGTTCATCATACATTTAATCGAGTAGAATCCTTGACTGGGTTAATTGCTACAAACGTTACTCGTTGACGTAATTGAACGCCGACAATCTTTCCATAGCTGACATAACATCCACGAACGCACAACAACGGTTTTCTCCATTCTTGTCCAGTGCATTTACACCTATGAGCTAATTGTGCGATACTTACGTAGCGCATAACACTGTACATTTTATTGTCTTTTTAGTTTATTTCGTTACCACACTATTTACAATTAATTTACAATTTTAGGTACATTGGATAAATTCTGATGTATATAGGTACCTCTATTTAAATAGTACCGTTACTAATAGAGTGTTTTTTAATAAGCCTTTCTGAAGAATTGTGTAAAGTCATTAAAGAATGAGTTAGTTCTATGCGTTGACAGTTCTTTCGTGACTGCTAGTTGACTTAATCCTTTCATACTTTTCCATTTCTGATGCAGTATGAAGCATTTAAAATAATATTTACATATAATCTTAAATCATCCTTGATCGGTTATCGAATAAGTCGATGAGTTCTCGATGAAAATCTATATACATTAAATTTCAATCGAAAAACATTAATTTCGCGTTTGCCCGTTGATCTGACGAAATAAACTCCTTATGTTGTCGCATTATTTTTCCTTCGCATTCTCCTCCCTGATAAGATCAATGTAACAGGTCTCGATGCGGTGATTACAGGCATGTTTTAAACACTTCTAAGTGACGCGTAACGAAACAAGTACTCGCACACGACTGAGTTACCGTCGAACGGACTTTATGCGAGCGTTAAAAAAGAAACGTTGCATCGCATTGTTGGTATTGCATTTCGTTTCACTGCCTTCACAATAGAAGCAAGATTAATAGGAGCCACCTCTACTCGCGAGTGAAGGTGAGCGGAAAGGAAGGCGAAAGGGTGGTTTGACACGCACTGTCGAGCACACGAATGTCTCTAGTCGTTACTATCTTGGGCACAATAACGCTCTGTCAAGCACAAATGCGCTCCGCCTATGTGAGGGTAATGAAAATGTGCAATCCGGTTTCAATCGCGATATATTCGTTATGTGTTAACACCGGCGCAGGTTGGAGGGAAAACACAGATACAATTCGTTTCTACTTCGGTATTTTATTACCGCCGGTGTGGTTATTAACCGGTAACATTCCGCAGGCGTAAATATTATGACTCGACATAGTTTTCAAGGTACCAAGCGATTCCAGGCTATAAACGATGAGCCAATATATCAAATTATACATGTATATTTCGGCAACGCCTATAATAAACATGAAACAAGATTACCAGCGAATACGAAACATGTTATTTCGTCGTTCGAAACGTTTCCAAACAACTCGTTTTATACCGAACGTCCGACAACCTCAATCAATGCTTCGCGGTACGCTGAAAAGCGAACGATTCGAAATTTCCATCTTCGCGTCAAGACTTCGTCTGGCTTCGATTAGAACCCCTGAAATTATCGAATGCCTCGTAGAATTTTTTCCCTGCAAATTGATGGTGTTCTGGTGCAATTGGTAGCAGGAGAGTGGCGTTTCATCTAAAATATGAGCAGCGTTTGGACGTTTACTTTCTAGGAACGTTCGCGTTCGACTGTACAACGGAGTGGCGAAATCGTGAATAGATATCTATGTAATCCCTTGCAAGACGCGCCGCTGCGAGTCATGTATGAGCGAACCAATTCACAGTCATCTATTGCGTATATCTCCGAGCGGACATGGAACACACACACACACGTGCACACAGGTGCAAGTAGACGGTATCGCACGCGTTCTAGAGCATAGTGCTACCATGATCACTTTCAGATGCGCTTTTGCGAGTCATTCGTATCCCGTGAGCCGTCTTATGTCGAAGGATAACTGTTTATTTCGGTGGACATCGGTTTCACGTGATACACGCTCCGGTAACACCCGATCCGCGTGTATAACAGTTCGCCTAACACCGGCCCGATGATGAATATCGCGGCGATGATTATGTACGGCACGGTACTGCAAACAAATCACTACCACAGAGGCTCCACTTACATCCTTATCTTTACACACATCTGTAATAACGAGATATGCTGCAGCATGTCTGTCGCGGGCAGTGATTATCGTTTATAGCTACCAGATTATCTGATCGCGTTAAGCAATACGGCCGGGTTGCGGCGAATATTTGTTGGATAAGGAACGCGAATGTTCCTCGACCTTCGCATGGACATTACAACGAGACCGGCGCGCACAGTTCCGGTTGACTCTCCTTAGGGTCAGATCGTTACGTCAGAATTTCGCAAAATCGACTGTACCTTTTGACGAACTGCTGGGTCATCCGGTTTACCGAGAGATTTTTGTATCGCGTGCCTTGACCCAAATCTATATTAAAGTTTATTGAAAGGACTTTCTATGGTACAGTTCGAAGGTAACGCGGAACGAAGTTTGGAAGCTGTTTGCGATACGCTATTGAACGTTCGAGAACTTTGATTACAGATGAAAGCGGTGGTCTTCCTAGTCGCGATAGCTGCGACTAGAGCTTTGCCCCTCTCGAAGGTTCACGTGAAATTCGTCTCCCCGCCCCACGTTTACGAGCACGGCATTACGACAGACGGTTAGTCTGTAAACGTAATTATAACTCAGCGTGCACCGGCTTCAATGTCTGGCGATAACGTTAAACTGATTCTTATCCGGCAGGGGATCGAACGATCGACCAGAGATCCTACGTCTCTATCGGAAGAAGGAGTACGACGGGTGGTCCGAGGCAGTTCGGTACGGTACTTCGTGATTCAGCCGTGCGATGATGAAATTGAAAGCGTTGATTGATGCCGGTGCTATTAGTAATTTCTATGTTCTTTTAGGGCAACGCATAGGCGCAGCGAAAAACAGTATACCTCTGTACATTAAGCCGGAGAATGCTGAATCCCTGTGGCCGGTAGGTGTATTCCTCCCGCCAGTGGACGTCAATGATCTTGGATACAGTTCGCATGAATCGAGACACATGACACCTGATTTTTCTAATGGACTTGGTGAGAAATGTTGATGCGTTAAGTGATCAACCAATCGAATTTTCTTGAACGTATTCAATCAGTATTCGGAGATATCGGTATAATAGGATCCTGACGGTATGAACGGAATACGAGAGTGAAAGAAAAAGGAATCTAATTGAATCGAATGATAAGAATATAAATTTGCTCTTTGATAAGCACAACACTTTTCATCAAGTATATTAAATAGAAATTTTAATTCGCCGTTCCGTGATGTTTCAGCGTACCACGATCCATACCTATTGACTGGTGAAAAAGCGATGATAGCGGTGAAGTATCTTTACGGTCTTGGGGAACTTTTTTACGATGAGATTCCGCATGAAAGAGCGCTGCTTAGGAACCAAGAAGAAAGGAGACGGAACGGTCTTCATGGTCACATATTGAAGAGTTTGAGCCCCACCTCTGCGTTCTATCGAAAATCATGATCAATTAATGGTCTTATTATTTATTTGTATGTTCTTTTCGAACGAACGCTGTAACTACGTAAAAAGAACTATCATTTCCCTTTAGGACAACTAACGAAAATTTACGATTACTTTATATATTGTCTACATTGAATATTAAATCGAGCGGTACGCATTACGACAGTTTTGCGTGTGATTAAAAATTTCGAAACATAACGAAGTATTTACCTTCTCTTTAATGTGCTGTTACATTTCATTCTACTGTTGCGATTAATACAATTCAAACGAAATTACTGGGATTGCGTCATTGCGATTTTATATGAACATTAATTTCTCGTCCGTTCCAGCGACAGACTTAATTAGCGATTCACGCGTTGAATGAGTTGGTATTTACGAGTCGCGAGCAAAACAGATGTAGCGGAAACGTATGTAAGTGTCATTATCGTTCGTGGACAGTCTGCGTTTAACACTTTCACAAGTGTGATTTACACGAACCGTAATGTACTCCAATTACTAGAGCAAAATGTCCTGCTGTTATCCGTTTAGCAATTCGGCAGGATTTATCGCGTGGAAGCTAGACGTTTCTTGGTTTCGCTGAGATTTAAATACATGAAATATATAATTATAAATATAAACATGTATTTTTACAGACTATTCACTAGACTCATTAACAAACATCATTTCCCGCCGTACTGGCTTCGCGGAAAAATTAAGAGAATCGCGTCATGTACAGTTACAAGGAACTTTTTATACAATAATATACATTCCATTTAATTCTCTAGCGGTCTCAGATGAACCATCGAAATAGGACGAACACTGTCGTGAAAATCAATCCATTGGAGATGCCCACTTTCGCCGTTCCGTTGCACAAATCGCCGATACAAAGGCACATGTACACTTTCTTGTAATTCCAAACGGTGTAAGCGCATCTCTCCTCCCCGTCGTCGGGTCCACGTTGAAAGCAAAGTCTTTGCGTGGCAGTGCCATACTCTATACAGAAATAATTAGTCTTTAGTCATAGAACAGTACTGTACGAATTAAAGAAACGTATAATTCAGCGATATCGAATAACGACTAGTTTTTCACTGTGCATCGATCGATCCTCACCATTGTTCAAACCGTGCCTCTCGATGATCTTCCCGCACCAACCGGACGGACAAGGAATAGAGGCCACTCCTTTCTCCATTTCGATCTGTGTCGAATTCATAGTGAAAGGATCCTTGCACGATCCTAATTCTCCTCTCGATCTGCAATTCACGCATCTCCGTTGAATGCCTACAACAGTGGAGACAATGAATTAAATTTCTGTTTCGTCTATGCAACCCAGCCGTGCCGATATAAATCTTCAATTTCGTCAAACAATGTGTTAATACCCGGTTAAAGGAAAGAAAAACGCAACGGTTTGCGGAAAGGATGAGCTGTCCGGTATGCGGTGAAAGTGTGACATTGCCTGCACCGTGAGCGCACACATAGATGCAATCTGTACACGAAACTCACCGGTTGCTCCCTGAAGTAGAACCAGGCTGAGAATCCCGAGCACCACGGCAACAGACGCCCTGGGATTCATTATGTCGTTGAACCTTCAATCAATCGAATCGTATCCTCTCCTCGTTGAACTCCTCACCCGTAAACAGTGCCAAATGCAACGGAGACACTGGGACAATCAAACACGGCCATTTTGGAACTAAACTATGACTATGAGAAGCGGACACGTACGCCATGCAGCAATCCCTCCCAGACCCTCCTTTCACTCGGCTACCTTTAAGGTCATCAACGGGTTTGGAGACTGGTCGGAGAAAATCGCTTCAGAAAGAAAGACTCGGTCGGTAAATAAACATAGTAAATGTGTTTCGCCGAAGCAACCGTAAGTAAGAAATACATTGCTACGGGATATATCATATTTGCGGTACATTAAAGTCACTCGGTAAGTGTTGCATTAGTGTTTAATCGGTAAGCAATGCTTCCTCGTCTTCTTCCATTTCTTCATTTCCTCCTTCCTTGATCGGCATTCGTTGATGAAATTGATGTCTCCGGCGGTACGTGTGAACCAAACCGCTACAATAGCAAAGCGAGCAAAGGAAGAATATGAATCCCAAATATCCCAGGTGACGCAAAAATTCTATGAGAGAGAACCAGAACGTTATGCGCATAAATTGTATCACGTGAGATTTTCGTTTATTATCAACGTTAATGGTTCCGTGAAACGTCTACCTTGCGTCAGAAGTCTAGTTTTCGGGACAACGACAACATTCAGTTGCATCACGTTCACATTATCGACGGTGCACGTGTAGTTTCCCCCCTCGTGGACGGAAACGTCTGGAGATCAACATGGAAAGGCAAGAAAAAGAGCGTGTGACATTGTAACACGACGAAGGAGTAATCAATTTCTTCTAAGTACCTATCAGATAAAGCGTCCCAAATGCGTCCACTATCACGCGAACGTTCGGATCCAATTTGCGAAATGATCGACGGACGCCTTTTTCCAGCGTAATCGAATCCTTTTTCCAGGACACTTGCGTATCTAAGCTCGATCTAAACGCTGATCTTCTTAAAATCTTTACATTGTAATTACAAATGTGCTCGAAACTTGTATGAAAGAATAAATTACTCCGGGCAAACGACGGTTAGGTAAGCTCCTTCTGCGAGCACGAATCGCTTGACGTATCTGTACCTTCTGCTCTTTTTCTTTCCGCCCACGCATTTTTTGCATTGCTCCTTCAAGACAAAGTCCGGTAGATATCGCACCGCTGTACTCACACCGGGGAATTCGTGTTCTAATACAATAGACCTTAAACAGAAAATTGACAAACTTGTAGTATTGTAAAAAGATATGGTCAGGGACCAAAACAATCCTATCCAAAATGTGAAAGAAGGAAAAATATTATCTTGAAGCATAAATATTTAATACGAATGAACATGCAAAGGCAAAAGTTAATTGAATCATAGATTACGTTCAAAACGTACGAATATTTTTGTGCCTCGTCGCAGTTCACGAATGATTTGAATTGATTCACTCACTTGCAAGGTAACATTGGTGATTTTCGGAAGAACTTGACTATCGATGAATCGCTATTATTTCCAATTGTCTGTAACAACGGTTCCATTTATCGGGTTTAACGTCAGTGGGAAAGATGAGATTGGACGTATTCTTCTCACCGCATTTATAAATCGCTTTAGTCGACATTTTCCAACGTTCGTCTTATAGCCCCGGTTACCTATACAATGCTCGCACGGACTCCAAAGTGTCCATTCGGAAATGACGTGCAGCGTAATTCCAACATCTCGGATTTCAGCCAACTCCGACATTTGAGAGACCTAACGCGAAGCCACATCCGATTGTCAAACGAGACGGATGGATATTTTATAATCGCAAACTAGTTGGATTCAGTCTTACAGCGAACCGTGTGGTAATCGTTGCCAGGTATATTTCGCGATATTTTTCCCATTCAGTTATGTTCCCCTGTTCCGTGTGCACAATACTATAGTCCTTGAAAACGGCTATAGTAAAACGGTCATGTTAATAAACGGATTTGTCTATTTACAGTTAGGATAGGTAAGGAATCAACTTGGGAAACGTTCTATTGGCCTACGAGTTTAAAAAAGTCTTGCACCGTTCTGTTGAATTGTACGGTTATTGCAGATTTTATGTGTTTATAATATACCTTAAATGCATACAATTCAATAACATGGCAGCTTTAAAATATGCCAGTGCAGTGTAAAGTTTCATTTCTGAATTTCGGAAATTAATTTCTCTAACCATAAACAACTCAGTAACATCCGACGAACACATTTTCAAATTCTTTAGGTATTTATCTAATATATCTTCCCTGCTTTATCTCCTAAATTATCTTGTGAATAATTAAAACATACTGAGTTGTTAAAGGTTAAATGTAATGTGTGCAGAACATTATATGATAGGTATTGTAGACTATTTAGTGAAAGAATAGTCTTGGCGCACATCGTTGGTTATAATAGGAGATCCCTCATCAGTCAAGACAGTTGTTACTTTAACCCTAACTATAAATACATATATAATTGTTACATTATAAACATCAATACTCAAAGTATTACGTTCGATTCTGTAATTGTATTTGTTCTCAGCTTCCTGTCCTTCCTCCCCGTGGCATAGGTAAATGCCAGCATCTGCGATTTCAAGATGTTTAATTACCAAGGAAAGGTCCGGAGTAGTATAAACCCTATTGTATGATATATTATTGTCCATCCCTAATTCGACCACTTTTTCAGGAATTTCTCTATATCGATCTTGATAGTACCAAATTTTGGACTGCCTCTCCTCTTTGTCGTTGCTGCATTATAAAAATAAATGCAACGATGCACTTTTGCAACAGTAAATCTATGTTTCATACCAAAAACGACATTCCATCATCACGATCGAATCAATCTCGGCGCTGATCAGTAAGTATTCGTCAATTTCGTCAGACGTTATTAATCTTTCTTTGTCTCTACAATATTTAGTAACGCCCACAGATTTGTCAATTGAAACAATACTATCAGCGTTGACCAATGAAATAATTAATAATAACCAAAAACTTTCGGCTTCAAACATTTTCAGTTGAATTGGTATCGAATATATTACTACATTCGTAGTTATCTGGTTCAATTAATATAGTGACAAATGTGACAGTACGATGTGCCCTTGCATCTATTCAATGTCATGAAATCTTCTGTTATCTATTCGTTACATATAGGACGTAATTCTTGATAAATGCATTGTGTTCCCGTTTTTAGATGAATCTGTTTTTTAATAAAAGCCACGTGTGGCTTTAACATGTTTTCCAAAGCTGCACGAGGTCTGCTTCGATATTCAAACCAATTTTATAGCCAATCACAACGTTTGGAACGGCGGAAAAGAACCACTAGCGAAGTTCACCGCGAAGCGGGCAACCTCGACGGAAATACATACCCATGATGCATCACTGATAGCAACATGGCGGAGATGATTGAAAGTGAGTAAAAGTTAACTTATTCTTGATAAAATTAATCTAACAAGGATTAATTAAATAGAAAAACTAGCTATACGTGAAGGATAAATGTTTTGGGATCTACCATGTCGACACGTAAGATTATTTCGGAGGCTTTTTATTATGTTACAGTTGGTGTTTTAATTGCGCTCAGAAAGGTCTGGTTTAAAATTTCAAAAATGACCAATACACATTTCAAGCGGGACGGCGAAGATCTCCGTTTAAGCCTCTATTTACCAGGCAATACTTAACAAACGAATGCTTTTTATTATGTTTCGTAGCTTTCGTAATGTTAATGAATCCATGACTTTGACTTTTGTTCTTATAATAAGTACGCGTACTGTTTACGGAACTACGTGTAAGTTTGGTTATGTTGGACTTCCAAAGCAGAACGAACGAGTAATGGTCTCTTGTTGGCACTATGATTCGAACTGCTCTTTAACTGCCACTGTCATGAATATAGAATAACAAAAAAATTCTGTATTTACAAATGGATGATTATATTCAATATTATCTATAAATATATACATCATTCCCTTATCACAATGGATGTTTAAAAAATTATAGTTTCTAATGTTATGAAACAAAACTTCAAATTACTTTAAAAGGAGCTAAATGTTATTTCATTTTATTAATAATGATAATTAGTTAAGTATTACCTGTATTTTATTAGCTATTGTATATCAAGTTTCAGATGTAATGAGCGATATTTAAAACAAAAACAAGTAAAAGATGTAACATTACTGTACTATGTGTTAAATGATATTATCATTTCATGAATATGTAATTTACACACTTTAGGTGAATCAGCTGAAACATTATTGTCTATAAAAAATGGAGGCTATCCATCGATTGATGAAATTAAAACCGAAGTAATAGACGATGATACAATGGATATGGATGATCAACAAATTTCAAATAATTCAACAGATTCACATATGGATACAGAAGAATCTGATCCAATTCCTGAACTTGGTCCAGCTGCTTTAGGTCTTCAAAGAGTAGGCACTCAACCTCCTCCAAAACCAAATCCACCTACTCAACCTGTTCAAGTGTTAAACCGTAGAGGAATGCCAGCTAGAATAAGAAAGAAAAATAAATTATTTTATGATGATATATTAGTTAATCATCCACATCATAGGTGAGTCTATAAACATTACATGAATATCAATTAATTTAACATATAATTCATTTGAAATATATGTCTTAGAATAAAAAAAGATCCATCGCATCCAGATCATAAACAGTCTCCAAAAAAGGTCACTAGACCATCACCAGCTAAGAAACAAAATAGAATATCTAATGAACAAAGGAAAAGTAACAATATATTAAGTCAACCATCGACACCTTCAATGACTCCAATTAAACAAGAAAAGGAACCTGATAAACCAATGCAGCCTTCATCTCCAGATCGTAAAATTGGCCAAAAGATTGGTATGCGATTAAGAAATTTACTGAAATTACCAAAAGCACATAAGTGGGTTTGTTATGAGTGGTTTTATAGTAACATTGATAAGTATGTATGAAAATTATAAACATATATATTGGTAATATTTTAATCTAATATAACTAAAAGTTAAATTCTTTTTCACAGAACACTATTTGAAGGTGACAATGATTTTATGATATGTTTGAAAGAATCGTTTCCACAATTAAAAACTCGGAAATTGACTAGAGTAGAATGGTGTAAAATAAGAAGAATGATGGGCAAACCGCGAAGGTGCTCTCAATCGTTTTTTGAGGAAGAAAGGCGAGAATTAGATAGGAAAAGACAAAAAATTCGAATGTTACAACAGCGAAAAGCTGCGGATATTAATAGTTTTAAAGACTTACCACCAGAAATACCATTGCAATTGGTAATAGGTACCAAAGTTACAGCAAGACTGAGAAAACCACAAGATGGATTATTCACTGGAAGTATTGATGCAGTGGATACTAGTAATAATACTTATAGAATTACTTTTGAACGTGCTGGACTAGGAACTCATAGTGTACCAGATTATGAAGTACTGGTATGTATACATTCTTTGACATTAATTAAACTTGAAGTTGTTTTGATTATTTCATTTATATTTGCATGAATATTTTCATCCTATTTTTATAAATAATTTTCAGTCAAATGAGCCACCAGAAACAATAAGTGTCGCTTCATTTGCTCAAAAATTCAGACCCAGACACATACAATATGTACCCTCACCACCATATGCAATGAAGCTAATGTCATCGCGTTTAAACAGTGATCCATTAATATCGAATGCATCTGTTTCATTACCAAAGAAATCACATATTGGTGGAACAATGAATGGTTATCCTTTAAAATTACTCGAATTTATGGTGAAAGTAAATAAAATATTAGCTGCGAAAAAAATAAAAATTAAAAAGTTGAAAGAGATGAATAGCGAAGCGGAAAAAAGACGATCCTTTGGTGAACCGCTTCCACCAGACTTCGAAAGAAGATACGCAGGGTACTTCATTAGTACATTGACAATATGTATTTATGGTAATGTTATAGCTGACTTTCTGTACATATATATATTTATATTGATTGTAGAATTGTGGTAGAATTGGAAAAGATGAATACAGCTCTTCAAGATTTTCTTAATGATGTTCAAGAATTATGTCAAGAGATGGCTCCTGAACCTAGTGTTGCTGCTATGCTAGCCCCATCTCATCTTCGTGAGAAATGTAGACAAGAAGCAGCAGATATGGTTGCTAAAAATAATATAGTTAATGACAAAGAACCTGGAAAGATGACACAATTAGTAACAGACTTAACAGCTCTCATGCTTCAAGTAAAGGTAAGCTCAAATAATAGTCTTATGGATATGCCATCTCTTTGGCAACATTATTCATATAATTTCTTTCGTATTTTAGAGTCTGTCTGATTCAGACCGAAATGCATATGAATTAAAGGTATTACAAGGTACTATGGAACAAATACGTTCAAAATTAAGTCCACAAAATCAACAAGTTTTTCAGAATTGTGTTGAAATACATATGCAACATATACAATTAGGTCTTGGACAAAGAGGTGCTTTGACACCATTTATGGCTCAATGGGCTTAGCAAATATAAAATAATCTTTTACAACACTTTTAAAAGATGTACAATATTAAAACAAATGTAGAACATAATACTACGATATTTTATAAGAAAATTCTACTTTATTTTATTATCTTTTTGTATAGGGCATATCATTATTAAGGAGTACCTATATTATTAGGATGAAAATGTATGTTCTATTACAATGTACATACAGTGTTTCTAAAACCGGTTTTATAGCAACTTTCTATATATGCCTTTTAGAATACTGTGCTGTGTTATTAATTACATTAAACGGTTAAAATGTTCATGTTTAAAAAATTTAAATGTAGGCTCATAATTTACATATATTATAAAGTTAAATACCTATCACCTATGAAATTAACCTTCTTTAACACTGCTGTAAATATAGTATATATGTTTTACAGTGGCAGCTTTGGTAAAGTTCGTATACAAGTTTAACTTTAAATTATCACATTTTTATTTTGTATAGTTTATTTTGCTTATATATATCTATATATAATTAGAAAGGTTAATATATATTTAGTACATTAGAATCACTATGTCTATGGTTCTGTATATTACACATAAACATTCATGTTGCATAATACATTGTAAATACACTATGAATATTCAGAAATATACACTTCTTTTTAAATTTATTTTACTGACAGCATACTGCTTTTGATGTGTGTTAAACACAGTAAATGATGTCATTCAGCTCATAAATATGGATTGCAGTGTGTATTATAATATAGAAATTTATTTGAAACACACAAGTTAAATTACCATGTCAATTTTTCACTCAAAACACGTGTCAAGTATCTATCGAAAGGAAGTATTTCTTTTGCACATACTTAATTCATTTTTCGAGAAAGAAAAACAATATTTCAATTTGATGTAAAAATGTTCTAATTACGTCCAAATTTAATTGATATAATTCGAATATAAATACTACTTTCAATAAAAAACAAAATATATCAAAAGAAAATATTTAAATATGAGAATTATGTGATACCTTTCTATGATTCGTACGTTCTAATAGTTTAATGTAATAAATTATAAATATAGGAATTATGAGATATTTTACATTCAATAACATTTAAAGAATAGATTTATTTGTAAAAATTGTTTAAATAAGTATAATATATTTTTTTATCTCAGAGTATATATTTTATAAATGAATATTAAAACAAGTTACTGAAAAACGAAAACATGAATTATAAACACGTATTTCTTCATTCCAAAAGTTAACTATATGCTATTTGTATACTTAAACTATAGTAATGAAAATAAGTTTAAATTAATATATACAATTTATACATACTGTCGTCTGTACTTATAATATCGCATGTACTTACGACGATTTTGGAAAGTAATGTGTATGTATTTTAATTATTCTAAATCTGATTCACGTTTATTTTATAATTACACATCCTTATATTAACATTACCTATAGCAATGATGTCTTAACGTATGTTTCGTGCAATGGAGAATAAAAAATATTCAACTCTTCTAATTCTATTTTACATACTTTATAATAAACATTAAAAGTAAAAATATTACAATACTCAAGAAACTTATTTTCAATAACAAAATCATGTTCTACTTGTAAACATTTTTCAGTCACCATCCCACGTGAATTTAGTAAGTTTCTTTCATCATAGTACTTTATTTAATTGCATTGTAGAGCCAATGCATGTGTTTTCGCATATTCAAATATTACCTATAACACATCCTATTTTTTATGCTTATTAAGTGCATCCATTAATGAGTCTGCTTCTTCGTCTGTTTTCACTCTTAACAAGACTGGAACTGGTGGTGGTGACATTTCAGGTTTTGGCAAACAAACCAGCATTATTGAATTTTTATTCATACGTTTTGTTGGAATACTTTCAGTTAATAAAGTATTGAGCAATAAACTTCCTAAAGAAGTTTCCGCACGCACTATCAACTGTGTTTTGTCGTTTGGTGTTGGCTTCAAAAACAGTACTCCTACACCCCTACTGGTAAAGTTACCATCTTTCTTTATAAAAACTTTACATCTGTAAAAAATTAAAATACTAGAATATTCGAACACTACACTTGCGTTTATTATGAACTATTACCTCTGTTCATATATGGCACCTTCTTCTGTTACTGGTTTAATCTCTACTTTTGGGGGTTCCTCATCTTCGTCATCTTTACCTTCATTTTCTGCTTTATCTTCAGACTCTGGTAGCTTTACAACTTGAGCACCAAAGGTAAATGGCTTAGCACTGTAAATTGTGATGTTATTTATATTTTTATTTTTATTACTATTTATTTTATAATATTAAATGTAAGAAAATTACCCTCCGAAACTAAAGCCAGTTGTAGAACTAGTAGTAGAACTTTGACCAAAACAAAATGCATTTGTTGTACCAAAAGAACTACTAGTAGATTTTAACTCTGATTTTGACTCTTGTTCTTGTGATTTACTATCTGTAGATGGTTTGCTGAGAAATGGATTCTTCTCAGAACTAACATTTCCAAATACACTTTTTGTTCCAAGTTTGTCAACATTGCCAAAGATAGATTTATGTGAGTCTGAAGATTGTTCTGAATTACCAAAGACTGACTTACCACTATCTGTAGCATGGTCTGACGTACCAAATATAGATTTTGAATCAGTATTAATACTGCCAAAAATTGATTTTTCAGGCTTCCATTCTGATGATATTAAAGATTTTGTACTTGTTCCTCCAAATGGAGAACTGTCAACCTTTTTCTCTGAATTTGCAGTTTCCTTATTATCAGTCACTTTAGTAGGTTCAAATTGACTTTGTTCTGATGTACGTGTAGTTTTATCCGATTCATTTCCATGTTTTGTTTCAATTTCTTTAAGATATTTTTCATAATCTTTAAAAATAGGTGTTAAAATACAAAAAGGATTTGCATCTACATGACTTTTAATCCATTGTGTTACGCTTTCATTTAAACCTTTTAACTTAGCAAAATATTCAGAAGATTTCTTACTCGTGCCTTGATCTGCTTGATCACTTGTTTTACTTGTAGTTGTGCTAGATATTGATTGTATTACTGAAGTTTCTTTTTTGTTTGTGCCATTTTCATTTCCTTTAGATGCTCCATTACTTGCTGGGGGTTTATTGATATTCGTATCTGTTTTTAAACTTGTACCAAAAGCTTTATTATCTGCTAAAAAACTAAATGCATTCTGTGGTGTAGATGGTCCAGTGGTTTTAAAACCTGTGAATGCACCGAATGCACTTTTGGTATTATTCTGAAAAATATTAAAAAAAATTATGACTAAAGTGAAATAATATTATAAATTAGTAAACATAAAAATAAGTTATATACTTCTGTTGATTGCAATCGACGCTTGGCTCTTTTAACAACTCTTTTCTCAAGAATATCATCGGACGCTCTAATAAATGTTCCAGCCTCTTCAGGTTCATGCTCTTCATTCCAATTATCATGATTTAATTCTGTAGTTGCAGATCTTTTAGCTGCCATTTTTAATGCTATTCAAAGAAATAAGCAATTAAGTAATAACATGTGTCATTAAAAACATTTCTTAGGTATCATCAAAATCATTAAGTATATTAAAGAGGTTAAGATTTATAGTATATATATTATTCAATGCTTTTTTGTTGGATAAGATTTAGAATTACTTTTATATAAGTGATAACAATATTTCATTAATCAAATTTTAAACAAAAGAAATAAGTACATCTTTTAAACCAAACAGGTAGGAGAGACACATTATAACCTCACAGTCTCTCGAATAATATGATACTGAATTTCTATTTACTGAAGATAATAAGTGGGTAGTATTATAATATTTACCTCATGAAATTAATGATAGTAATCTCTTAAGTAAAATACGTTTAATGCATTTATAATATACAATTAACGGACATAAAAACTTCGACAGACTTGAACAAGCACACTTTTTCAAGGTTCGCACATGCGCACGTTTAAAATGTATCTACTATCTATCCAACGACAAACTTAATCTTGAAAGGTTAAACGACAAAATTATAATAATTTTAGTTCTGTTTCACGCAATGTGATATATACGTATTTCCCAATCCACGTGCAGCAATAAGGTAATAAGGTCTTTATTAAAATAATTTTATAAAGAATAATTGTTATAATGTAGTGAATAATTACTCTGAATGCAACACTTTGACTTTGAGCAATTATCAAGTTTGAACTTATTTTTCTATACACATATATCGAAATAAGTACTAATTCAAGTCAATATGTTGAATATTATAAACTTAAATCCTTAATTTCGTCAGTTCCATAGTTATGAAATGATGTATGTTAAAAACATCGTTATACGTTTATCAGTCAACGAAAAAGTAATTCACAAGTATGGCCCTTACATGGTCTGTTGCAGTATTTTTAAAATTAACACGAACAAACTGCATTGTATTTTTGGTTCATACCATATTCTAAATTTATGTTTTTTTATGTAAAGATCTTCTTAAGTGACAATGTCCATTTAACCTACATTGATAACCAAATTAATTTAAATACAAAAATAACCTGCATTTTTTGTAATACAAAATCAATTTTATAATACTGAAAACATTAATATATTATTCTGTACTTATGAAATTATGTATATAGCTTGTAACATGGATATGCGATAAGAGATCACGTGATCTACTATCACGTGCAGTGATCGATTTAAACTTCATACTTTGTATATATTTGTACTTTCTATAGAAGTCACTATTACTATACGCATGAAGTGTCTAACATCGAGAACATATTTAATTAGATTCAATTTACATTTATATTCAAAACAAATAGTTACGCGGCGCAAAAATTGTATATTAAACGCGTTTCCATTTCAACGTTATTTACAAATCGACGTGTACGAAACAGATATATTATTTTACAATTTCATAAAAGATAGGTAATTCAGAATGTTCATACAGAGCTACGAACATCTCTTTATTCCAGTAATCATCGGAGAAAAGGATGAAGTTGAAAAAAATATTAAAAAGGAAAGCCAACTAAATGATTCTTAATCTAAATCAATATATCTAGCAACTGTAGCCACATTAAGACGTGTCTTCAAATGCGCAGAAATTCCGAAACGCGTCTTCGAGCTTCGGGGGAACGAACACGCTTGTCTCCTATCGTGAACGCCGTTTCGTTTCGTAATCGCAAATATGTGGCGCCACTATCGCCGGCATTACCAACGTTCACTATCATAAAAGATCCGTCTCGAGAAAATCTTTTCCTTGAACGTTCCCCGTTTTCGTAATATCGCCGGTGAAACTCGAACCGACTGTTTAACATGGACGACAGTAGAAGTGAACCGAATTCGTAGTATTCTTCTGAAGGGTGTTCCGCGTGGTTCACGTACCGGTGTACGAGCTTGGCGCGAAAACTCGCTTTCAAGGAGCGCGTCGGATCCCTGGGCATACAATACAGCACGAGGGACGGAGAAAGGGAGAGGGAGAAACAGAGAAAGACCGAGGGTAAGGGCCAGGGGGTGTCAGGGGATCTCGAGCAACTTGGCACGTCCGTGTACGGAGGCAACAGTGCTGGTGGCAGCACAGACGCTCGTTGATGAGCGAACAATTCACTTTGGTACGCGGTTTCACGACGTTATTTCGTCTGATCGGTGTCGTGAAACAAGGGTGTGCACATGTACCCACGCGACGGGCCGATAAACTGTGTCTGTGACATTTTTACCAGTTCGATTATCCTAAGTTAAAACGGTCAAGTGTCGTCGCGGTGGCTCGAAGAGTTCGTGGCTGGTGCGCGCCGTGCGTGCGGTTGATCGGAGCGTATACCGCTGCTCTCGTCAATTTGGTGGGAGAGTGAGAGTGAGAGGGAGGAGGGGTTTCCCGTCCTCCTCTTCCCTCGCTAAAATCAGCCGGATTTTTGAACAGGGAGGAAACACGAAAAATTGCATAGTAAAAACATGGAAATATCGAAGAGTTTGCAGGAAGAGATTCTGACCGTGCAAAACAAACTGAAAAATGCCATACGCGATCATCAGGTGAGTTCCGCGACTGTGCATGTATGTATGTCGATAGCGATTTAAAGATTGAGAGTACGAAGCCGAACGAACGAGCGAGCGAGGAAGGAAGTTCACGAATAATTCCTCATCGACCAAGTTTTTACTTCTGTTATGCACGCTGTCCCTCCTACCGATTGAAAAATCTAGATAATACGCTCGATAGATAATCGACGGGTAAAGTGAAAAGTTTTCCCAACAGTTTCGATGCGCATCGTTCGAATACAAAGCTGTTGTTTCCGAGTATACCTCTCGCGACGCTCAAATGGAAATCAAACACGCTTTAAAGCGTCGTTTAAAATGGTTCACTTTTGTGATTCGGTTCCCTTGGCATTCCCACGCACAATGTGTGCATGAACGCATGTACGCACTAGGCACGCGCGCGCCTGCATAAATGCATTCCTCCTATACTATATTTGCGGAACTTGTTTCTTTAACGCGAATTCTTCGAAGTTTCATGAAACAATGATCATCGTCAAAGATGTCCGGTTTATTACGGGCACTCGGGACGAAAACTCGCAAACATGGCATACATGCCTCTTCGATCTATTATAAAAGTATCCCGGCATCGCTACTGCTCTCGCGTTTCGACATTTGTTAAACTGTTCCCTGTTCAGCTGTATACGCAATGTTGCACGTTATCGAAAGTGAAAGAAGCGTAACAAGTTCCGTAGGAAGTTTTCGCTCGCCTTAAATCATGCGACGAGCGTGCACCGATCGGTGGTAATTTTTTGTTACGAATCACATAAATTCGAAGGTGAACGAGTTGTTCAGGCCTTAACCTTTGTTGGTAGAGTGTTTCGACCGATGCGTCGCATGACTTTGAGAACCAACATTCTGTCTCTTTCTCGCTCGTTTATTCGGTTACTCACTTGTTCGGTTCATTTCCCTCTCGCTTCTTCATTCTCTCCCCCCTCTCTACCTCTCTCTTGCTCGTTCACCCTAACTTCCACCGTTCCGTATCCACTCTTTTCAAGCTCTTCCCCTTTCTCTACTTTCCTCTTTGTCTAATTCCTCCTTTCTTTCCCTGCATCGCCGTAAACTTTCAAATTAAAGCTGGGTAAATACCGTATAACGTCCACTTATATTTCCGCGAACACTATCAACCTCCATAACGCTCCATCCTTGTCCCGTGCCTAGTTATCTCCCTATCTTTACCTGCTTCACAGGAAATTCTTCATTTTTATTGCCCCGTACGCATAGAAACGGCTTAATGCTAACCAAGCGTGCAGTTTACCAACTGAGCCGGTGGAAAACTTGTCGTTAACGTTCGAACACTATCCTCCTCCCGTTTGAAATCCTTTGTTAACACTCGTCCCGTGTGTCGGTAAGCGTTGCATTATAAATGCAACGAGGGTTAAGGCGTTCTATCGGCACGATTCGACCGTACGCTAACGCATGTATCTATAGGAAAGGATATTATCGAATTGCAGTACACGTGTACTTCTTGTTTCGCTCATTACGCTCGAACTTTTATTAACTAGCAGGGACGCTAGCCGGGATATGCGCGCGGAGGAAAGTTTCTCGGCGCGCGATCCGCATTGTGCCCTGCTCTACCGACCTTGTCCCGTGTAACTCCTCGAAATTGAATATTTTCGTTACACAGTTCCCGATACTTTCGGTCGATAGCGCTCGATCCGTTTCCGATTCTTATTAACGGTCTACGCGTTCATGCTTTTTACAATCTCCACATTAATGACATCGGCATCTGCATAGAAATATTAAAGGAAACGCTTGAAACGCGTAGCTGTTAGTTTTAACAGCCGTATCGGTAACACAAATAGATCGATATTCTTATTCAGAGTATTCGTGTACCGGATAGGGCAAACCTGTTCTGGCTTGATGGAAATTTCAGTTGCGTCTCGATTGTCGGAGATCAGGTGCGAACCGATATCGATTCGTGAATTTTAGAAAGCTTGAAAGACTGCTTCGCGAGGTCACTATTTTAATTATTGTTTCCGCAAGTAAATAAATACATACCCCTTTTCCCTTATTTCCTTCGTCGTAATTTCTCCCTTACCTTTTATTAATGAATCCTGTTCGAACGTCGGTAATACTCTCACCGTTATTGTTATTATTTATTTCCATTATGACACATTAGATTTAAAGAAAATTAAACTTAATCTATTATGCATGGAATTTTTCCTAATATTCAAAAAACAAAGAAGAGATAATGGTGAATTTCGTTACAGTGAAATAAATCAGAGTTTAATGGTTTTGATTTTTCTAAAGCGAGCAGGGTGCGGCGTCTCGTTAAATTACGTCATTGCATGGCAGATGCGGTCATCCTAAGTGCGAGACGTTTTACCCAAATAATTATTATCCATGTAAAATTAATAGAAAATTTTCTGTTTAAATTGCAGATCTGCGTGGGTAAATTAAAAGACGACCCCAACGTAAGTTGCTTCACTTTTACTGACCTATGGAACTATCTTTAATGAGCGCGTAATTATTCGCAAGCCGGAGGAATCGTAATAACGGCGACGTCGCTGCTAGACCAACAG